TGCCTCGCCGTCGGGCTGGAAGGGGGCAGCAGCTGCAGGGGCCCGCCGGCCCGGAGCGCCAACGGCTGGGCTTCGCATGGCAGCCCGCAGCCCGGCACACCCACCCGCCGCTCGGCAAGGCTGCAGCGCCGCTCCCGGGCGCGGAGCCCGAGGCTGGGGGGGGGGGGGGCGGCCCCCCCCCCCCCCGCCGCCCCCCCCCCCCCCCCCCCCGCCCCGCCCCCCCCCCCCGCCGAAAGCGCCCCGCCCGCGGAAGGGCTGCCTTCCTTCAGCCGCCTCTTTCCTTCAGCCGCCGCCGGCCGCTCCTGGAAGCGGCGCCGGGCTGAGACGAGCCTCGCCCGACCCACCTGCCCCGCCGCGCCGCCTCGCTTCAGCCCCCCGCGCCGGAGAGGGGCGCCGGCCTGCGGGCTCCTCGGGGGCTCCTGCCGGCCCCGCCCGCGCTCCGCAGTGGGTCTCGCCCGCTTGGCCAGCGGCGGGCCGGCCGGCTCTCCCGCCCCCGGAGCATGCTCAGTTGCGCCGCCGCGCCTCGCCCGCCCGGCCCGCTGACCAGCCGCCCGGCGGCCCCAGCACGGAGTCCGGGCGGGGCGGGGGGACAGCCGGGCTGGACCGCGACTTCGGGGGGCGACGCTGCGGGCCGGCCGGGAAAAGCAGCGGACCGGCGGACGGGACTAGCAGGCGGGCGGCGCTCGGCTGGGCTGGCCCCGGTTCCCCTGGGAGGGAGCGGTCGCGCAGGCTGTCCAGGCGCCCAGGGGGGAAAGTAAAGGCAGGTCCGGGGCTTTTGCCGCCTTTGGACCCCCAGGTTCCCTTTGATGGCAAAGCGCCCAGCGGCTCTGGAGCGGCCCAAAGTCTGCCTGGTGGCCTTGGATCATATGCCAGGCTCCTGGGTGCAGGTCCCTGTAATGCCCCCAACCCTTTGCTTTCTTCGTCCTGGAGTGGGGGGGCAGCTGGCATTCTTAGCCGACTCTTGCAAGCTGGGAATGCCTGGTAGCCTCTTTCTCCACACAGCTTGAGCCCATTGCTCAAGGATGGCCGGACGGCCTTCCTTCCACTGCAGATCCATCATCCTTTTCCTAGAAGCTTCTTCCGAGCAACTGACCTTTGGGGTCACCATTGCAGAGGCGACTCCTCATTCCATCCAGGAGTCACTTGAGTCAAAGGGGGGTCATTGGCTTACAGCCCATCGCCTCAAGAGATCCCCGATTGCCCTTCTGGACAACCCATCAGTGCACTGTAAACAAAGCGGATTCAATCCAGCCACCTTTCTTCCCCAACAAAGGTTGTTATTCATGATTGTGTCCAAACCATTGCGGAGGTTTTTTCTGGCTGGCTGGATCTGGGTGACCGGCCTCTTGAGGATGCAGATGGGGACCGGTCTACAGAGGGCGGCAGCTTCATGTACACGGAGAAAGGCTAGCTGGGCATGCGGTGATCACTTTGGACCAAGTATTGAAAGCAACAGCCCCTCCCTGCAGGAACTTCAGCCCCAAAGGCTGAGTCACTGCCTGACAAGAGCCTCAGGGTTACAGGAAGGCACGGTGGTAAATATTTTCACAGACCGTAAATTTGCTTATGGTCTTCTATGTGTACGTGGTTGTCTTGTGGAAGGAGTGTGGAAGGAGTGTGAACAGGAGGTACCCCTGTTAAATATGGACCTGAAGTATTGAGATTGTTATTGGAAGCTGCTTTGCTTCCCAGCAAGGTAGCTACTACGCATGTAAGGGCCACGGTAAGCATAACGATGATAGTAAACCTGGCCAGGGAAATGTCCTGGCTGCCTCTGGTCCCCCTGCTCCCCCTTGGTATGTCTGGGCACTCATTCCTTCTCACCTGCTTGCTGGCTCCTTTGCAGGATAGGCACAGGGCGTATAATATGGGTGCTGTTTATCAGGGTAATTGGTAAATTGACTTCTCCCAGTACATGAATTATGGGCCCTCTTGAGGGAATTACATACAAGTATAAACATCGGGGTTCCAAGGCTATAGCCGAATCTCTGTTGCTGCTTACTAGATTTACACCCTCCCTTCAGCATCTCCTTCCTCTAATTTCCCACCAACTATTTTGGACTATATTTGTCATCAAACATTCAAGGACAGAGGGAACTGTCATTTTTGGAAAAACGACACGATGCCCCTCTCTATCCATTGAGGCCCTGAGCTGCTGAAGCTCATATCCAGTTGGGTACAGCCCCTTGCAAAGGAAGCCCAGTTGGAGGTCGGCTTTTGTGGCAGAGATGTTTGCACGCAGAGAGAAAACCGGCTCTCTTTTCCTACAATGAACAGTTGCAAGAACTGGGAATATCTAGTCTTAACAAAGAGAAGGACTAGGGGAAACATGGTAGCAGTCTTCCAATATTGGAGGGGCTGCCACTGGAGGTTTTTAAGAAGAGACTGGCCAGCCATTTGTCCAGAACGGCCTAGGGTGAGAAGACCTCCAAAGTCCCTTGCAATTCAGTTCCTTTATGTATTCTTTGCAAGAGCTGACTCTTCCCTTGGTCAGGACACCACCTGAAGTCAAAAGGAAGCATCTGAACAAATCAAAAGTGACCCTCAGTTGTTTTCATTTGTCTAGGAGAAGCAGGTTGCCCTGAAAAAAGGGGGAAATCCAGGGGTCTCAACTGAGCCATGGGTTGTGGGGGGTATCCAGCTACTGTCCCCCCTGAGGGGTTTTTGTATCCCCCCCCTCCATTCCCTTTGCAACACTTCCAACTTTGAAGGGTTCTTATCAGAAAGATTTGTTTGACACTGAGGCTTATCAGAGCATTAAGCACTAATCTTAACCGGTGCTGCTGCTTGGGAGCAGAGGAGATCGCGGACAGCGGCTCTTGGGTGACCCTCCTACCTTGTGGAGGAATGAGGGTCTCCTGTTGGCCTCTTCAGTCTGAAGAGGGAGAGTCTCTGGAGGGAGGGATTTCATGCTGGAGTTGTCAACACACACCCCTTTCCTTCCCATCAGGCTCAAGAAGCTGCCCAATCCTGATTCAGATGACCCAGAGTAGCAATATGGCTTATGGCCAAAGATGGCTGGATACAACTGAGGGCAAGAGGAGAAAAATGTATTTCTGTCGTTGTCATGCCCCTGTTAGAATCTGACTCCGAGGAAGAGGAGGAACAGCTGACAGGGAGTGGGAAGTTGTGGAGGAAACTGGGGAAGGGCACAGGCCAGCTGGGCATTCAGAGGAAGACCCAGGCCCATCCCCTCTTCATCCTAGGGCACGCAGGGAGGAGTGCATAAGGGAGAAACGTGAATGGCGTGGTCTACAGGGGAGGAAAGGGCCCTGATCCCCTTCATGGACTGCAGCTGGGAGGACTGTTTAAAAGGACAAACTGTACATGGCCCAGTGCTGGAAGCAAAGTGTGAAATAATTCTATTCTTTCGGTTCTTATCTGAGTTCTGGCATCCTTCCCAGCGTATGTATTTCGATATCTGTGGACGTCTTCAAGCCCTTATCCTGCCTTGTCTGATTAATTGCTTCTGTGTGGTTTGTGTTGTTTTTTCTATTTATAATTTATATGTATTTTGAGTTTGAACGCAGTTCTTCCTTTTCACAGGTGTTTGCAGGGGAGTTTTTTCTCCAGTCAATGATAATTGGACCTTTGAAGCCAAGTTGAAGGAATTAAAGGGACTTCACCTGTTTTTGTGACTTTGTTGCTTTTGTATCGCATCCTGGGTCATCGCAGTCGGCCTCACTAGGTTGACCAGGGAGGAAACATGACCAGATAAGCTAGTTCCACTTTAATCGTAAAGATACATGAATAATAATAGACTAGAACAGAATAAAACAAAACAAAATATAATATAAAATGTATGTATGTATGTATGTATGTATAAAATATTGAATGGAATATGAAAATGGAATGTTGACAAGACTCATGTAAGTCTGAAGGTAGAATTCTCCCACCGTCACCTTTGCCTCCTGAGAACTTAGGGAGGGTCCCCCTTGGAGCTTCTTCTCCCCCCCCCCCTCACTATCCAGCTGCAGCCCTGCTGCCTCTCAGGTCTGCCCCTTCCCAGGCAGAGCTCTTTCCCAAGGTCTTTCCCCCATCCCATTACATCACCCCTCCGGAGCTCCCAGGGAAACTGAGGATAGCTGTGTCCTTCCCCTTTTCTGAGGCCACAAAGGCATCCCGTGCCTGTAGAAATCCGTGGGCCTCCCCCCACCTGTCCTGTGGGTTTGCTCCCCGTGAGGCACCTCCCATGTAGGCATTGTTTGTCTCAGAACTTCCCCCGCTTTGTTAATTGGAAGGCCACTCAATACTTGTGCCCTCCTTTCATTCTTATTAGGGGTAAACACTTTTCAGGTCTAGTTCTGTAAAGACGCAAGTGTCTTTTGTAGCCAGCCTGGTCAGTCTACGTGAGAATGGATCGTGGTTTCTAGTGGTCCTTCTGCCCAGGTCTTTACTCCCCCCTTTCCCTCCAGAGCGGCTGCTTCCTAGAGCACCGTTGTTGATGCCAGTGCTGGGGAGTTGGAAGAGTGAGTGAATTCTTTCTCGATGTTGATATTCAAATCTCCCTTGAGGATTGCTAACTCATGAGCAGGCGTGGGATCTCCAAAGGGCGCTTTGAATTCGCGCATGAAGTCCTGATAGTTGCCAGGCCCTGAACCGTTTCCCCCAATGGCCGGTGTTGCCCACTCCGCTGCTGCTTCCTTCAGCAGTCACAACCCCCCCCCCCCCTGGCCTCCCATTTCCCACCGAGTAGCGAATGGCTAGAACTGATCCCAGCCCCCTCTGCGCTTTTCCAGCAAGCAGGAGCAATTTGTGTTGCCACACATGGGGCATATTCCGCTCCAACTGTGGCGTCGTGCCATGGCGTCCTGCAAATTGGTCATTGTGGTGGTGTTAACAACAACGCTACTGCCAGATGCTCCGCAGGTAGCAGAACTCATTGAGGACAGGAACCCATTCCTAAAATTCTTCTCTTTGGAAGAGAACCAGAGACTTGCAAAATTGATATCAGCCTTACTAAATAGACCAGACAAGAATCAAGACCAGATGTACTAATTCTACTTTATTGCAAAATTATATTAAGAGAAACTTGCAAGTCTGCAAGTACAAATCTCCCACTGTCTCCTTTACAGCCTGAGAAAGTAGAAAGGGTCTCTTCTGGGTCTCCTGCTCCACCCACCATACAGCTGCAGGCTCTGCCGTCTCTTCTCTGACGGCTCCTTTGGCAACCTCTCCAGGCCCAGCCTTCCAAGGTCTTTGCCACACACCATGAGGATTTCTGAAGTTGCTGCTGCTCTGCAGAAGCCTGCAAGCAGTTATGAGTGCTCTGGGCTTCTTGGACTGTCTCTTGAAAATACGGTGGAGAAATGGGGACTAGGATATTAATGGCCAAACACTGGGGGCCCAGCCAACCCCTGCGTCTCTCCAGCACAGGGAAAGCTTCCGTGCTGTGGCTCATGTTCTCTCCCCACACAGCAGGGCTTCCCTTTGCGTGGGGGCTCAGGGGGCTCTTCCCCCCAGGTCTTGGGCAGCGGTCACGTTCTCCAGGTTCCCAAACAGGATTTCACTGATGTATTGTAGGGTACGGTTGTCAAAGACCATGTTGAGATGCTCAGCTCCAGGCAGTTCCTGGACATGGACCTTCTCATCCTGCTGGTTGCGCCAGGCCTTGCACAGCTCTATGTTGCGCCAGCTAACCACATCATCCCCGTCCCCATAGATAATGTCCACCGGGTCCTCGTAGGGAAAGCGGTCGTCGTAAATGTAGGTCTCCGGAGTGGGGCGCCCGGTGCCAAACAGGCAATAGACCTTCACGCCCGGGGCTGGCAGCTGTACCATCAGCTCCTTGCTGTCATTCCACATGAGCCAGCCGTCTTCGTAGTGGATATCGCTGAAGAACTGCTGGTAATCCCGGTAGGTGTAGTTGTAGAAGGGGGTGGAGATGAAGACGTGTGTCTCCGGCCAGGCTGTGTGGGTGGGGAACAGCCAGGGACTATTGGTGGATGTTCGCTTTTCTTCACGCAATTTAATGTTGGACATAATAGGAATGCCCTGAAGGTCACCTGCCAACGACACCAGTGGGGTTGCATTATTCTACGCCCACTTTCAGGTCTGCTAATTTGTAATAGAAAAATCGTATTACAATTTTATTCAGCCACAGAGGACAGCTGGTGAATAAACTTAACAAGATCAAATTTCCAAGGGTTCTTCCCTCTTCTTAAAGGTAAACCGGGGGCAAAGACAGAAACAGATCGATGCCTCTCCACTTTTTCCTCAGAAGGGCTGGGGGCTGTGGGGGCCGTGGGCAAGATACGCCCAGGATCTTTTAGTGGGCAGAGGAGTGGGGAAACCTGGAGACCAGGAAGAGGGGCTGGTGCAGCCCAACTCCGTGCAGGCCCCCGGGAGACACGGCTGCAGCTACTCACCCGAGGCCACGGTCCGCATGGATTTCACAGATCCAGCCCAGGGGGCTCCGAGGGAAATGAAGCCTTGGACAAAACGGTCCTTCCAGGCCTGCGGCTGCTGGACCAGGAAGGAGAGGATGTGGAGGTTGCCAAGACTGTGGCCAATCAGGAAAACTGGCTTCTGGTAGGCTTCAAACATCTCTTCAATGAGGCCCCGCAGCTTGCAAAAGTAGTCCTCTTGCTCGGCTGTGGAAAGAGGAGGAGGAGGAGTAGGAGTGTGGGAGGGAAACTCCCCCCCCCCGCCAACCTCCTGGGGCCCAGAGGGAACCTTCCCATGCCCTGGCCAGAGCGCCGGAGGGTTCCTTCCACCCCTGCCTGCAGACAAACCACCTCCGGCCCCTTTGAGAAGGGCAGGTGAGACACCCCCTCGCTGAGGCTCTGGGTCCTTGGTGGCTTCCAGCTGCTCCCATGTGCCCGGTTGGGCTATAAGGAAGGATGCCCAGAGCTACGCAGCTGGATTTCATCGCCCCCTCCGCCCCCTCCTCTCCCGCCACTCCTTTCGTGTCACATTTTATTCGTGGGTTTGTCGTGTCAGGGTTTCAAATATGGAGAAGCCAGGGATGGGTGGGAAATACGAAATCCCTCTGGTGATGTGTTACATTACGAGGCAGACCTGCCCTGTTTTCTTCATTCTTCCTAACCCGAATTTGTGAAAGAAAAATCTTCAGCTGGGAAAAAGTTCATGGCAGTTTTTTTTCAGTGGGGAGCAGAGACTGTTTCCTTTGCACCTTATACTGATCTGATCCTATGGCTGCTTTGCTGGGGCCACTTACAAATAATGGAACGACCAACGGAAAGCCTGAAACTAATAATCAGGCTTTAGTGATCGTTTGATTGACTGACTGATATTAAATGGCTTCTACAGTGGCTTGTAACAACCACCTTGGGCAGAACAGAAAACAGGGAAAAAATGCTGGAAAAATGGACTCCCCTGCTGCAGGATCCGAACTGGAGGTGGCTGGTATGGGATGCACAAGCTGCCTCACCCTTCAGAGGGGGCTCAGCCCATCTTCCCTGCCGAGACCCCTTGGAGGGCAGGGGTCCCCGGCCTCTGTCCAGGCGTACTCACTGGGGTTGAGCCTCCAGTCGTAGGGAGCCGCTCTCACGGTCTGATCCCGCACGTAACCATTGTTGACCAGGTGCTGCACCAGCGTGTGCATGTAGCCTGGAGCAAGGAGGAGAAGGGCAGTTAGTGGAGGGCGGAGGGAAGGGTCTACAGGTAGGGCTTTCCTCTGGCAAGGGGCTCCTGTTCTGCTCCTGTTCTCCTCTTTCCCAAACGATTCTTGACTCCCTCGGAAGAAGCCAAGCGGGTTCTAGAAAAAGCACCAAGATCAAAGCGAGTCCAAAGAGTCCTGCAGATCCTGCACCGCCTGGTGGGAACCCAAAGGGCTGCCTCCCTCTGAGCACCTCTCAAAGGTCACCCTCTTCCCAACGCCTTCAAGGAAGCAGGAGAGTCGTAACTTCCACTGTAGTATTGTCTGTCAGCCTTCAAGGTCTTCTTTCTGGCTGTCATGAGTAACGGGGGGAGGAAGGGGGAAAAGTATGGGAAACGGGCTAGAGATGTTACTAACTAATATTGTATAAACTGGGGAGGGTTTCTAATTCCTGCTTGGCGTTCTCTTCTCTGCGCAACTGCAAACCTTTATCTGAGTAAGCCAAGGTCATCACCACCTGGAGATGTCCACATGACGAGGTTCACAACTTTTAATTGGAAGAACCGTTTGAACTATTGGGGGTGGGAACATTTCACTCCCTTGATATATGTGATGTGCGTGTCTATTTCCTCAGATTCAGAATTCTCTTGTTGCTACCACTTGACTTCCAGTAAAAGATATCTTTTCTCTAATTACAAGAGTCTAAGTATTTCTTTCTTGGATTTTGAACAGAGCACCAGCTGACATTGTCCTTCCTAAACATCTCTCTGCTTGAAGGGAATCGCTCTGGCCACTGATTGACCCAAGGACTGTGGTTGCTCTGCCACATGGGCAGAAAAGCTGCCTGTGGAGCTATCTGGCCAGGAGCTACCCCCCCCCCCCCCCCC